AAGCAAACAGAGGCGGTCCAGTGACCGCACAGAGGATTCTTCTGCTCTAGGGGAGTTCTCTCACTTCTCAGGCCCCGGTCCAGCTGGGACAGCCAGAGCACTAGTGTTTGTCACCTCTCGGCCTCGCGAAGGCGCTGGCCCAACAGGGTCGCTGGCAGGCGTGACCCGGCGGCCTGCGGATACTCAGAAATACACATCTTCCGTGAAACATGCATGCTGTAAACATCTGCTGACTCGGAGTTTGGGAGAGAGACATCCATGGCACAGTGGTCTGGGCGATTGATGAGTAAGCAAGACTGTTCAAAGGAGGCTTTGTGGTTTAAATATACTTTACCGACTAGATATATGAAAGCACGCTTTTGCAGGTTACAAAAGTAATGTGTGTTTATCTTAGTAAAAATAGAAACAAACAAAAAAACATAGGATGCCAGCAAGTGGCATGGTGATTAGGGTCCTGGATCTCACATAGCCAACTCTGTGGTTTGAGTCCTGGATCCGGCAGCTTGAAAAACATACTGGGCACATGTGTGCATACCCAAAATCCCAAGAGGAGAATGGAGGGAAAGGGATTGGGGCATGGCCATCTCCCCTGGGGGGGTGATTTCTCACTTTCCCTTTCTCTCTGTCTCTGTCTCTGGCAAATGCACACTCCATATCGCAAAAATCTAAAACAAAATAAAACTAAATAGAGACGGAAGTGAATAAGGGAGGTGACCATGTCAGACAATATTTTTATCTTTTCCAAGTGATTAGCTGGTAACTTATAGTGGGCATTACAGTGTATGAGTTTTTCATTAAAACAGATTAGTTTTTTTTTTTTTTTTCTCTTAGGCAGGGTCTGTCATGATTCTCCTGCCTTAGCCTCTGGAGTAGCTTGGACTACATGCCACTGTGCCCGCCTTTTAGGGTGGTCCAGGGCTCGAACCCTGGCCTTCCACATAGGCTTAGCCTGCTAGCAGCATCAGCGTGCACGTGTTACCGTGACGGGGCCAGAGAGTCCTTAGTAGGACAGACCGGGGTGCCGTGGACGGCAGCTCTCTGTTTTCCTCCTTGTTTCCCTGCTTATCAGTTATCAAATATTCACTCACATTTAAATCTGTAGAGAGAGAAATTTGCACAATACATTCTGGGGCAGAGACTAAGTGAGTATTCGTGGCGTTTTCCTACTTGGGAAAACAGGTATTCACAGGGTTGGGGAGAGGTGGACTGTGTGAACACCTTCCCCTCACCGTCCCGCTGCTCCTCCAGAACGTTGGTGCTGGGGGTTCGGTGCTCTCCGGAACCCTGGCCTCCTCTGGCATCACGCTGTGGGCCTCAGGGCGGTCTCGAACCAGAGCGACACTTAGGAAAGAGCAGCAGGACAGTTCCCGGCGGCCCTGAGGGCAGCGCGTGCCTGACGGCTCCCTCTCTCCCCAGGAAGGCGTGGAGGTGCGCGTGGCGAGGATCTTCAACACATTCGGGCCGCGCATGCACATGAACGACGGGAGGGTGGTCAGCAACTTCATCCTGCAGGCCCTCCAGGGAGAACCGCTCACGGTAGGTGCCGCCTCGGTGACCCGGGCTGCATGGGGTCCCTAGGTCACCAGGGCCTGCGAGCCCACAGCTGTTCAGAGCACGTGGGCTGCAGGCCTCGTCCGCGCTGCCATGCCCCAGGGCCTGCCTGTCAGCACCCACCAGCCTGCCAACACCTGCCCTGATGCTCTGGCTCTCAGCCTGCTGCCTGCGGCCAGGGTGTGCCCGACCTCAGTGTCCCTCGGACCGAGGTGCTGCACAGGTCTGGGGAGGAAGCAGGAGGGTTCACCTGGGCCAGATGTGCACACTCAGCTTGGCCCGACTGGCAGGTGCCCAGCTCCCTTCTCTGCTGGGCGCTGTCATACAGGGAGGCCTCTGGAGCCTGGCGGAGGGCCCTGCGGGCTGGGTCTGGGGTCCGTGTTGTGCAGATGACTGCTCACGCCCTCAGGTGCTGCCTGTGGGGATAGAATGGGCTGCTGGGTCTTGGCCCACCTCTGGGCAGGAGTGTCCCTGCTGCAGGGCCAGAGGTTGTGGGTTTGCTGGGTCCTCACTGCTCTCCTCCTGCCTCTTTCCCGCCTTTCCTGCTCCTCTTCCGGTTGTCTGCCTGTTTCTGCTCTTCTGGAGTCCTTATGTGGGAATCCAGAGTAGGTAAGAGTCCTGTTACTCGGAGAATCTTAGGGAGAAAATTGTAACCAAATATACATGTATGTGTGTGTGTGTGTTCACTGAACAACTGACGCAGCCGGCCCCTATTCGCTACTCATCCATTGTTCGCGACCGTCCAGCAGGTGCAAGCATTCATTAATGACAGCAGATCCCCGTTTTGCAGATGAAGCGGTGGGAGCGGAGAGGTTGTGTGGCCAGATAGTGATGTCCCGTTTGGGACTGGAGCCACCACACTTAGTCACTGGTCTCCAGGCCCTACCCCCTTCGGGGTGTGCTCACAGTTCTGCTACCAGCGCAGCTACTTGCCCAGTGTGAGTTTTAAGCTGCCAGGTCTGGGACTCAAACCACGGTTGACGTTGTAGGAACCCAGTGACATAACCATTATGCCATCTGCTGGTCCCTCTTTTTAAATCTTATTCATTTATTTAGTTTGAGAAAGAGAAAAAGAGACAGCCGCACCCTGACAGGGTCCCTGTACTGCGATCCACCTCAGCGTCAGCCAGTCCTGGGTGGCAGGGAAGGATGGACCCAACG